ACACGTACGCATTCCAGTCCACTCTCCTTGGCTGCGAGGTTGCATCAACGTCACGTGTAAACCGTTCTCGTTATATTAACAATAGCTGGACTTTTTTGGACAGACCTCGTATGTATAACATTATACAGAGGTGCCTTCCCTCGTGTGTCTGTGGAAGATGCTGCCGCTGTCTGTGAGTCCGTCCTCTAACTAGAAGGCCGAGGAGCCTGATGGTAGAGCCCTTCACCAGGACGTTAGCCGTGTGGGGAGGTCTGGAAAGCATTGGTGTGGCCCTGGCAGAAACGACACATTTCCTTCCTAAGTGCCGTTTGGGAAAATATCAGATTGTTGTTTTCAGATGACTACAAAATAGAGCTTGGCACAGAATCAACATGTTTCTCATGTTTTGATTTAAGAGAAGACTTTTTAAAAATGGACAGAGCCTTGGAATATGAAAGAAAGTCCATCCACTAGAAAAATGATGGAGTAACAGCAAGAAAAACGAAATGCATTTGAGTGGGTGTAAAGTTGTCAAAATATTGAAGGAAAAGTTAAGCTGTTTTATCTTAGTGGAGAGAATGGCTTAGATATTCCTGTATGCAGGAAATATTGTGGATTTTATAAAAATTAAACCATCTGATCTTGACACTTTCATGATTATACGGGTTATTTGTATTATCGTAGAGTTTTTAATGGTTTGCTCCTGTAAAATGTTACTAAACTGTATTATTGTGTTGCTTTCAAGTTACTGAATAGCAGATTTTGCTTCCAGTGTCCTGAACAGCACATTTTTTTGGTCTAAGGAATTCATTGACTTTTTAATAAGCAGCCTAACTTAAGCCTGTTTTTACAGCCATTTGTTAAACCAGCGAGATGAGTTCTGAAGAAAACGCACAGCAAATTCTTATGTTACTTAGTAGGAATTACAGGACTGGTAGGTTCTTGGGAGTGCTGGAGTGTTTTGATTTACTCTTAGAAGTGGGAGATTTTAATGCATTGTCTAAGGAAAGGAAAGAATTTGGCTCGAAAAACTGAAGGAAGGGAATTTCAGGTAGAAGGGGTGACTACAGGGGTAGGGCCGACTGTGAAGGGCAAGGGCCTAATTTGGAACCTGATTCCCAAGCAAGGTCTTCCCTCAGCCTGGACGTGATGAACAGTTTTCAGATGAAACACCCCAAGAGATCATGTATGTCTTGCCAATTTCCCGGTGTGTCAGCTGGGTGCAGACCACACTGTGGTACTGATGGTCTGTCCTCCATGGGAAATAAAACTGTTTCAAAAATGCTGGGTTCTGGGCAGGTTCCTCTTTGACCTTGGGCTACTTTAAATATCAGTCTGCTGCTGCATGAAATTAAAATGAGACTACCAGGTTAGATTGGTTGAAGGGTGTCCCCTTTAAGGTTTCCTGCTCATAGGGACTTCTCTGCTGTCTGAGCCTGCTCTTCTCTCAGGGGGACATGGGGACGAGCGCATGGCCTTGAGTCCTCCACTGAGCTTCCTATGCATTCATGACCCACACTTCTGGGGTGATTTGAAGGGTTTTAGAATATGTCAGCATTCTGTTCTGTAGACACTTTAACAGACCTCACAGCCAGGTAGCTAGCAGGCTCAACCCCTTTGTGATCCTGTGTGAGTGAAGGCCAGTGAACTTGACAAAACATGGCATGACGCCCTAGTTGTCAAGTGCCTGGGCTTTCCCTGTCTCTGGAAAGGGAGCAGAATCCTTGAGCAGATTCAGTGCTTCGAGGGGAGGTGGCCTTTCACTTAGTACAACTCCTTTGGCCGCACCTCCGATATTGAATGTGAGTAATAAAACGTATCCATAAGCATTCTACGTTAGGTAACGGAATATAGTCAACAGCATGTAGTATAGCGTTAGTTGTTCAGACCTCGGGATCATCACTGCGTCTACTGACTGTTTTTGATGAGGGAATCATGCTGCAGTGGTGCCCTTCCTGCAACAGGCCCCGGTGAACTCCTGCCTGGAGAGGCAGGTTCTTGGGGGGGGAGGAGGGCTTACACATGCCCCGAGCTCCGTGTATGTGGGCCATTCAAGGATCACACCTCCTGGGTCACAGGGTCTGGGTCGGGGAGTCACAGGCACTGAGTGTGTCCATTGAACCTCGATTTGGACCAACCAGCCCCTGGTGGGCTCTGAGCGCAGGGACAGCGGGAAGCCTGGCCCCTTGGGAGATGCAGGTGCTAGTGGACACCGCTGAGGTGGACCAGGGGGAAGGGCCCAGGTGACCTGAGAGGAAGCTGCCCTGTGCTGGGCGTGCTGAGAACAGAGAACAAGAGCCAGCATCTTACTTAGGAATTATTCCTTGTTCTTAAAATTCAAACAAGCAAAAATCATGAAGTATCTCGTCAGCGTCCATCTTTTCAGTTGTTTGATAATGATATATGTGTATTTAATAGTTTGACTGAATCAGAATCCAAACAAGTCTATGCATTGTGATTGCTCGATATGTCTCTTAAAACTCTTTAATCACGGGCTGGTCCTCCATCTCTGTTTTTCCTCCCTTGCAGATTGCAGAGAAAACTGGGTCATTTGTCTGTAGACTTCCCTGCACCCTCAGTTTTTGCTGAAAGCCCTCCTGCGGTAGTGTTCGTAATGTTTCTCTATGTTTCCTGTAAATTGGTTGTTGGATTTAGAGGTTTGGTCAGATTGCATTTTAAAGTAAATTTGGTATCATACTGCATTTACCAGTTTTGTATAGGGCTTTCACTTACCATCCCATCACGAACATTTTCTTATGCCATTAAATATTTTTATGACTTGGTTCATATGGTTCAGAACTAAGAAGAGGCATATCATGAAAGAGTTTTAACCTCTGAGGTTTGTGAAAGAAGAAACCCAAGTCATCCTGAAGAGTAACCAAGAGTAAACCACAAATAGTAACAGTGATTTAAACATTACCTCAAGGAGTGTTAAATTTTGAATTAAGATGTTGAATTACAAACCATAAAAATTGTAGGTCTGTTCACACATGCTTTTGTGTGATCTCCCTCTTTGTCTTAATTTTGGATATGAACTTGGACTTTCTTGAACTTCCTGTCATAATATATGTACCTCAGAAAAGACCTGCCTGATTATCTTACCTTGTTAAATGGCAGTTGAATGAAGAGACTGTGTTTGGGATATTTCTTGGTGTCTCATGCAGACATAGTATATTGGTATATATGCTTATTGCAAACAACAGAAATAACTCAGGCTGGCTTAAGCCACTGAGGGTGTTTATGGTAAGGATGCTGGGGTGTCTGCCTCCCAGAGCCTGAGTCCGGGGACACAGCTCGGTCGCAAGAGCAGCTGGCATGGTGGGCTTTCCACCTCAGCCCTCTCTGCTCACTCCTGCTTCTCTCCACAGGGCAGCTTCTCTCTCTCTCTCTCTCTCTCTCTCTCTCTCTCTCTCTTCCCTTTCTTTTCTTTTTTGATGTACACAGCCCTCCAGCCCCCAATACAAAACATATGACCAGGAACAGCCATTTCAAGTAGTGGAGACATACCGATCCATTTTTCTCTCTCTTGGTTTCAGATTTGCCAGGGAAGGAACCAATTTATCTGCCTAGGGTTGGATGCCTACTTCTGGTCTAGCCTGTTGTGATCAGGTGTAGGATGTAAAGAAAAACTCTGGGTGATTCAGCTTGGCAAAGGTTCCTTTGATTGTGACCAATCAGCATTGTACAAATGCCTGGTCCTACAGAAAGGCCTTATCCAGTTCACGTGCAAAGTCATGCCGCTGGGTCATCTGATTTATTTGAATGAATGAAGGTCAACATCCAGTCTTTGTTTTCTTTTATTACAGTCTAATCATATATCGCATTCTCTACAGATCTTCAGTGCAGGTGGACAAGTTCTGACCAATGCAGACACCCATGTAACTAAGTCCCCAGAGTCTTGGCATTCAGTGTCATAGCACGGTCCCTCTTCCTTTGCATCGTGCCCTCCCACAGAGGCAACCCTTTTATCCTCACGGACCAGTCTTACTTGTCTTGAACTTCAGTTGCAATGGGCACATACGGTGTCAACATTAGTCTTCATGTTATTTCAGTTCAAGGTTGTAAACATTAGCCAGTGCTGGCTGTGTGCCAACATCTGCGTTGCTGTTAGGAATCCAGGGATGACTGTGACAGAGCTGTGAGTCGCTGTTCAGGCAGAGCGCGCCTGGGCCGCGGTGGAGGCAGCCGAGGCTAGAGCTCTGAGCACGCAGGTGCAGTGAGTGAACGAGCAGGGTCACCGCATTATTCCGTGTTCCTTCTCTGCAGCGATAAGCCAAAGGATTAAACTTGTACTGTTTTGGTGATTTGTCATTTTCCTGCCTGTGCACCAGATTTCCTTGTCTTCCTGCATGTTCTCTGATGAGAGCAGAGGCCGGGAGGCCAGTCGCAGACTGGTTTCCGCCCGGGGCCTGGAGACACCAGTTCTGGGTGAACGAACCGCGGTGTGGGCTCTGCTGCGTGCACACCTGTCCCGGTTCCAGAAACATTTCCTTCCTTGTGTGTCTACCACTCACCTCACTTGGCTCAGATGTCAAGTGACCAAGTTCACAGTTTGTTTTTTACCAAGAAAAGCAGTTAGTCATCTCAGTTTTGTTTGTATGGAGGTCATTAGACAATGCGCATTTTCCATATTGTCGAAATTGTTTGAAGTCCTAACTCCTAACTACTGTATAACTTACCATGTATGGTCATATTATAGGTAACTATATATGATGTGTGTGCGTATATAGCATAGGTACTATATACTGTGTGAATGGGAGTGTATGTATGGGAGTGAGCAAACATAGGGTTGCAGCTGGTTCACATGGAAGGACATGCAGGTTCTGATTACGACAATAGCTGCTTTGGCTCTGGTTCGTGTACATGACCATGGACCTACTTTTGTCCACCCCTGAGTGGGTTTGCCCAGTGGATTCACTTTGCAAGGTCATTTGGGACATAGTATTGCCAATGAAATGAGTAAGTTTTACAGTAGCATAAAAGAAAGTAAAATTGCTTTTTTTCTTTTCCGTTCTCCCTAGAACCATCCGAGTATGGCTGAAGAGAGACAGTGGCCAGTACTGGCCCAGCATTTACCACACAATGGCCTGTAAGTAGCGGTCTCTGTTCCACTTGAGGAAAGTGTCTCGAATGTCTTTGATGATTAAATTTCAAAATGTCTGTTTAAAAAGTGCTGCTAAATTTCAGAATGAGCTTCCTAGTTGCCTAATACATCCGGCAGCCTGTGCCTGGCAACTGCAGGAAAACACCTTTTCTTTTTCAAAGGAAGTTCGGTCTACTGGCTCAACTGAAGCACACTTGAGCAAAATTGGGGGGGGGGGTGAAAAGGGCATGCCCAGTCACCCCCACCCTCAGTTTTCCTTAATGTTGCCAACTTGTCCTAGTAGTGACTTTGTACTTAGTAATAACCGATACTGACCCTGAAACAGGGTTCTGTGTACTTCCCACGCCCTTATAACCGGCCTTTTGCCCACTTTTCATAAACCTCTGGGCACCAATGAGAGGTTTGGTACAAGGCACCGCACATTCTCAATAGACAATTTTCTCAGTAGCTAAATGTGCTCTAAAAATAAACCTAAAGGATCAGCCTCTTGCATGGAGGTTTTTAGCACAGCTCTGAGCTGTACTGACAAACTTGCATTTAAATTCTAGCCCTCCATGCAGATTTGATCGCCATCCTTCTCTCCCACTTCTTGTCTCCATCCTTTCTGCAAAAGAAAGCCCAGCGGAGGACTCCAGGATCCCACCCAGGCCCCAGCTGGGGCTGAACCCCGCTGTCCTGAGTGGCCACACAGAGGCCATCCAGAGCTGCTAATTTCCTTGTGGTTTTGGTCCCTAATGAGGGATTTTGCTCATTTAAGGGTTCCAATATGTAGAGGACCTTCTGGAGAGAGAAAAAAGGCTTTGGGGCGTGTTAGATGGTTTACTTCTGAAGACCATTATGAAGTTCCCTAAAGAAGACCTCTTGCTAGTTATTTCAGGCACTGGTGCCAGCTTTTGTAAGAGTTGTTTCAGAGGCAGTGGGGTTTGTTATAAACTCAGAGCAGCTCATTACTCAGCAGACTCCCTGCAGTCAGTGTGAGGAGTGCTCCCGGGCACCCCCTTTCAGAGCCAGCACTTCTCATTTCCACATTTACGTGCATTGTTCAGACCCTGTGATCAGTCCCTACAAAACATGAGTAGTCTGCCAGGATTTTCATTTGTTCTACCTTCCACCTCCAGCGTGGGCAGGCTCCTCAGCTTCGCTGTCTGGATAACCATTCAGTGAAAAGAAGTAGACATTTTGGATTTGTTGTATAAAGATGGCTATTATAAAAGGCACCTTAGAGCCTTTTAATATGGGGCACATTAGAAGAAAGCTTAATCATAATTTATTGTGTGAAGCAGTAGCATCTCCTCTTTCCCGTATGCTGTTGAGGCATGACCTTGGTTACCCCTCTAAAATACCAAGTGACCGATGTCTTAATAAAGGTGCTCATGGAGCCCATTTGTTAAATGTCCTTGGGGATTTTTTTGGAGTGGGGAGTAGAGGTGGGTGGGACGCCTTACGCCTCTGAGCCACCCTTGTCCCAACCAAAGAAAGGGCTTCGTTTAGACTGGTAAATCTTCCAGTGGCCCAAGGATAGAGCTGGTAGCTGGAAATAGCGAAACCGAGGAACCCATTCCCGTCCTGGGGAGTGTTTCATCGTGTTTGTGAGCAGGCTTGTTAAATCTAGGGCTGCGATTCCTCCCATCTTTTTCCCCCCATACCTTGTAGTTTGAACATAGCTTAACCTCCTTGAGTCCTCAACCTTGGAGTTCATGCTCATTAAAATAGAGAAACTGAGGGAGACAGACAAGGACGGGTTTTGTTCTACATTTAGTCCAGTTACTCTTTGACTCGTACTTTTCCCAAATGTTTAGTACATAGCATTGTAATTCATCTCTCTCCCACAGCACCAAAACCTGTCCTTAGAAGTGGGAACTCTTCCTTGGCCCTTAGGTGCTGGGCATATGGCTTTGGCCATCGCTTGCTAACTTGTCCTAATGGTACCCTCTGGAAGTAGCTCCCAGAACACTGTACCTGAAAAGACCAGTAAAAACCGGAAAGATCAGGTCCAGCGTCTCTGCTGTTGGTGGCTGACACCCGCATATTTGTACCTACACATATTCGTCTTGTTGCTTCCAGAAGCTTCTTTATTGCATCTGTAGATGTATCTGCCAATAAAAATGCAGAAGCATGGCCAGAAGAAAACAATGAACGAATTGTGAGAAACAATTGCTTGTCTGTTTTAGAATGACTTCAAAATAAATTCAAAATCTGAGAAGAAAAGTGCTGTGTTGGCTCTAAAAACTTCTGTAGATTACCCAATTTAGGACATGTTAGTGGCCATCCGCCAACTGAGACTTTTTCCTGCGACATGATAGCCACCAACAAGCCAAACCTTAGCATATACACGGACCATACACATGGTCCACCGATGTTTCAGAACATTGTCTCTCATCACAAAAGTAACTTCTGGAATCTGCTTTAGCTGAAGAAAAACGGTGACCTTTCATGTCTGTATCTACTGCGTGCTTTGTACCTTTAAAAAAAAATAATGTCACTTTATGAAATCATCACAGCTTGGGAAGATTGGTGATGTTTTCACCATTAGTGGATAAGGACATAGGCCAGAGGGGTCACATGGGTCACTTGCGGTTGGAATTCCCATCTGCGCCCGTCTGACTCGGAAACTCTGCCCCCACCACAGTTGTGGAGAGGGTCCGTGAGCCTCTTCCGAAACGGCCAGTCTCTGCACAGCTCTTCAACTTTCCACCCTGGTGGCGTGAAAGCAGCCATAAACTGTGCTAAAGAAGGAGGCTGGCCGTGTTGCTGCAAAACAAAAAACCAAATAGTTTATTTAAAAAACTAAAGCATGTGGTTTTGGATCACAGTGATGCCTTTTGCAAAGGCCACAGATTTCTACTTTGCTTGTTTATAAAACTGTATGAAGTGAGAAACTTTTAAAAGAAATATTGCTTATCTCAATAGAAACTTCTCTTCCAGCAAGAAAGTAAATTTAAAAAGCCAGGACATCTTTATATACAAAACAAATAAACTAAGGAAGCTTTTTGTTTCAACTGTAAGTCTTTCATAGCCTCATAAAATATCTCAGCACATTGTGATTTTTACACAGATGAGAGATCTTACATGTTTATGTACAGTTTGGTGGAGCGTTAGGCATAGAAAGAATGGAAAAGGAGAATGAAGCCTTAAGATTTAGTACCAGCTGAAGAGTAAGTAAAAATGATGACAATGAATCTTTGAAAGCATCAAAGCATGATTTGATTCGTCGATGATAATTTTGTGCATGGATATTAAAGAGCTCTGTATATGAGAATATATATATCTTTGTGGTTATCATTCTTAAACATGATCATTCTTTGCAGTTTCAACACCAATGTTGTGGATAAGGGTGGACAGGCTTCTTGTCACTTTTGATTGTCTCGTGTGCGGACAGATGTAGTACCTACCTTTCAACCAGGTAGTTCTTTGACTGCAACTCACACAATCTCTCTCCATATCTGATCGTGCTGGTAGCTGTGTCCCTGTCTTTGAGTACAGTCCAGTCTTACACAATAGTTCATTTCCTCCCTTCAGTGGAGCATGTCAGCCCATTGTAGAGAGAGAACTTTAAATTAAACAATTTTCAAACGGTGGCTTCATCTGTAAGATTTTTCTCTTCACTTTTTCATAAGAAATTCTTTAGGCTCAAATAAACCCAAACACTTCTTTTTCCTAATGTTCCATTTTCTGAATCACGTTGATTCCGATTTGTAGCAGCAGGAGTCGATGTGGAGTTTCCCCTTTCTGAAACTCACTCTCTGGCCCATGCTTCCCGGAAGGGCAGCCACAACCTGGAGGGGTCTCTGTAGGTGAGAAGAAGCAGGTGCTACCCAGTCACATGACTGGTGTGGACAAAGGAAAGTGTCTGTACCTCACAGCCTCACTTACTACAAACTGGGATGTGTGTCATTGCACAAGGGAACAGTTTTTGGCCATTCGAGGAAGAATTCCAAAATGGCTTTTTCAGCTTGAGCTCATACGCCTTAGAATGGCAGTGTGGTGCTGGGCACCCCATTTCCACAGACCACAGCTGCTCTTGCCTGCGATGGGAGTGGGGGCAGGGGCGGGGTGACCTGCGGAGTTTGGGTGCAGATCACCCACTATAAGCACGAGTCCCCCACCCCTCAGACCTTTCTAGAAAGAGGTAGGAGTTTCAGTCAGACAAGACTTTGTGCTGAATTGCTTCACTCAAAGTCCTAAAAATAATTTTGTATGAGAATTTTAAAGAAAAACAATAGGAAGAACTACAATAGCATTTTCCATTCATATCACTTTTATTTTTTTGTAAAATCATTTTGCCCTGTTAAATTTTCAACCTAAATCAGGCAGCTCTTTTAGTAATGAATTTTGAACAGTGACAGTGCTTAGCTTTGCTGGTAATGTGGTCTTTGTCTCTCCCGCAGCCCCTTGCTCCGCTCTGACTTACCACCACGACCGCAGACGGGTGTTCGTGGGCCAGGACAGCGGGGCCGTTGCGGTAGGTTCCTTCCAGACCCGGCCTGCCACACTGGCCTCTCTGCATTCACGTCTGTTGGACAGTTTGAATAGAGTTAACGATGAACAGCGTAAAAAATTGTTGAATTCAGCGCAGGTCTTAGACATAAAAATGGATGAAAATTTTAATGAACGCTTGATGTTAAACCAGTTAGTTCTGTAGAACCCAGAACACTGTCGTGATGGAGTGTGTGTGTGTGTGTGTGTGTGTGTGTGTGTGTGTGTGTGTGTGTAAAATGGAGGAGGGGAGGGAGAACGTGGTTAGGGACTTGTCATTCACCCGGCAGCTTGGACAACCCTTTAAGACAGTGCTTCTCAAGGTATCTTTGGTGAAGGACCAGATATTTATTTTCCCAATTTACTATAGATCAGTGTTTTTGTGCGTCAAATTATGTATGTGTGTATTTTTTCTTAATTGTGATATAATTCGTACCATAAAGTTCACCACTTTAAAGTGTGTAGTTCTGTGGTTTTGTGGTATATTCACAAGATTATACAATCATTAACACTCTCTAATTCTAGAACATTTTCATCACACCCCCTCCCCCAAAGAAACCCCAAGTTCATTATCAGTCGCTCCTGACTGCCCCTTCCCCTAGCTCCTGGCAATCACTAACCCGATTTCCAAGTCCAGAGATTTGCCTGTTCTGACATTTTATGGAAGTAGAATCATAAAATATGTGTTGCCTTTGATGTCTCGCTTTTTACTTAATATAATGCTCCAAGGTTCATCTGCACTGGAGTTTGAATTAGCACCCCGTTCCTCTTTGTTTATTACTTGGACAGCTCACACTCTTCATCCATCCTTCAGTCGATGGACATGGGGGCTGTTGCCTCTATGTTTATTGTGAATAACGCCCTTGCGAACATTCGTGTGCAAGTTTGTGTGTGAACCTGAGTTTTACATCTGCGTGTCTGCCTAGGAGCGGGGTTGCTGGGTCACCTGGTAGGTCCTGTTTAATTCACGGAGGAACCGCTGAGCTGTTTCAGAGCTGCCGTGCTGCTGTGCATTCCCACCACTGGCGGGAAGGGGTCCCGGCTTCTCTACATCATTGCAGACTCGTTATTTTCTGCTGTTTTGTTTGTTTCTACTCTCGCCACCCTAGTGGGTGTGAAGTGGCATCTCCTGTGGTTTGCATTTGCATTTTCCTAATGACTAGTGATGCATGCCGCTCATATACTCATCAGTCATTTGTGTGTCTCCTGTGGAGAAGTATCTATTCAAGTCCTTTGCCCATGTTTAACTTTCTAAAAAAAATTGTTGAACAGTAAGAGACTCGGACCTGCAGCTTGGAAGCAGTTACCAGAGAAGCCGTCTGGTATCCTGAGTTTTTCATAGTGGAAAGTTTTTTGACTACTGATTTAACCTCTTCAGTTGTTACAGATTGTCTGTTTCTTCTTCTTCAGTTTGTGTTCGTTGTTTGTGTCTCTGGGCCAAGAAGGAAAGCACCAGTAAAAGGCAGGTTCTTGGCCCAAACAATTCACTCAGTAGAGGGCAGGTGGTAGGTGGTGAGGAACCGGGAGCTGCAGGGTTGGGGTTGGTCAGGTCGATGCCCCATGAGCTTGGGGCTGCTGTAAATACATTACATAATGGTCAATGCCAGCATTCTCACTTTTCTCCTGAAAATTTTATGGGATTTATGGGGAAATTTGATGGGCGAAGTGCATGTACAAATACAATAAGGAGCCATGAACTGCAAGCCTCAAACAGCCTCTCCAGTGGTGGCAATGGTTGTGCATTTACTTCGAGGGCGGGCCCCTTCCCGTGGCCCCTGGAGCGGGGGCGCACGTGATAGGCTGGCCTCTAGGAGCTCTTAATGCCCTTCAGTGGGAAAGGGCAATGCAAACCCAGTTTGTCCTTCGTTAACTGGCTGTGGACTGGCGACCTCCCACCCAGTACAGATTAGTATCTGCGAAATGCTAATACTTTTTTGTAGTTTGTGAACCCAAGATGGAGAACAAGGAATTAGTGTTCTTATTTTTTTCATTCTTAGCAGTGAACAATTCACGAGGTACATGTACCTAGAGTATTAAGAACTTACTGATTCAGCATTGGTCAATGGAATGTTTGATTAGGGCTTTTTTATTTTAGAGTTTTATCTTCTTGGTTTATGTTGAAGCTCATTTTTTTTCATTAAAAAGTATATACTTTTAATTTTTTCCTAGTTATAAAGTATTACATAGTCTATAAAATCTGGAGGTTACAAGACTATAAAAAAAGAATACCACCCACAACCTCTTAATTTCCTTTTCTTGTGTGGATTTCTGTATTAAATATGTGTAATTCCCCCCTTACATTGCTGAAATACCCTATGTCTTATTTTCACCATAGCCGAGGACTCAGAAATGGGTCTTTGCAACCTTGCTTTATGCATATCATCTTGAGGAATTTTGGGCATAGCCAGGAGAGGAAAATGAGTAAGCTGCTTCCTTTGCAGTTGGAAGGAGGGGAATTCCAAGCGCTGCCTTGTGAAAGGACTGGACACGAATGCTGTGCTGGGCAGCAGTTGGCTCCCCGGACGGAGGGCGGCCTGGGACTGGTCTGACGGGGGGAATGTGTGCTGTTATACAGCAGTCTGGCGTCCCAGGGCTGGTGACGGCTGTTTTTGGATTTCACTGTGTTTTGTTTTGTTTTAATTTTATTGTTGTTCAAGTAGTTTTCTGCCCTTCCCTCCACCCCAGCCATCCCCCGCCCCGATTCCACACCCCATTGGTTTTGTCCTTGTGTCCTTTGTAGTTGTTCCTGAAAACCCTCCCCCATTATCCCCTCCCACCTCCCCTCTGGATTTCACTTTGTTTTGAAAGTTAAGTTCCTATTGTTTTTAAAACCATAACTGTTTTCTTATTGCATATGTTTACTTTTAGGAATTTCATGTTTCTGAAGATTTTAATAAAATGAACTTTATCAAGACCTACCCAGGTAATTATACCACACACACACTGGCACACACAACCGATGCAGATCTATGCACACTCAACTAGGGCACCAGCTCTCGTGATCAAAATCAGGTTTCACACTAACTTTTTAGTTTCGTTACCCCAATTACACGAGAGGCTGTTAGCTCTTTGGAGTTATTTGCCATTCTTTTCCTGCTTGTGAACATTTGAGATTTTGTATACCATTCCATCTGGATACACGTGTCCGATTTAATTTAACCAGCCCTCTATTTTTGAGCATGAGTACTGCTTCCATTCTTTGATAACACCCACTAACATATGATAGCATATATGTATGTACGTGTATATACATCTGTGAGTGTATGTATGTCATATATGTCTATGTAGGTGTGTGTGTGTCCTTGAATTACTTCTATTGAAGATAATTCATAAAAGTGGAGTAACTGGGCCAGATACTAAAAAGTTTGTAAATGCTCCAGATTTGTTTTGCAAGCCATTGCCCAGCAACCGTGCGTCCTGTGCAGGCCCGCGGGTGGGGGCGGAGAGTGCCTGCCGCTCGGTCTGGGCAGAGTCACGCTTCGAACGTGCTCCGCGCCGGTTTGATGGTCAAGTGGTCCTGCAGCTTTATTTAAGCTTTGTTTGATGTTAACCCTCGGTCACCTTTCATGAGCATCTGTTCATGCTTTTGCCCATATTCCCAGGCAGCTGTAGTGTTTTCTAATTAATTTTTGAGAGAGTTCCTTGGTTTTTCTGAAGCAGCCTGTGCAGCTGAGAGCAAGGTTAGAGGTTCCTCTGTCTGGCCTCTGACTGCATTCATCAGACTGGGCATTTATTAAACACCTGCTGCATGCAGGAGGCCGTACCAGATGAAGTGGACAGGTCACTGCCCTTGTGTGGCTTACGATGAACCTGGAGACCCAAATATTCCAGCAGATAGGCCACAGAACACTTCCCTCATTCTCAGCTGTTTTTGGAATACAGAACTTCATCAGACCTTGTCTTTATAAATAATAAAAAGTTATACACAAATTGCTTACACTACTTTTTAATTTCAGAAAATTATAGTTGCTCTTGTTTATAATGTCGGTGTTGTCTAAAAGGTCAAAACCTTTTAGAAAAGGTTATGGACATGTAAAAAATTGCTCTTTTAAGAGAAGACTGCTGCCTTCCATGTGGAACGCACTGGTAGTTAAGGTTCTTTAGAGCAGAGTAAAAACCTGTTCTCTGTTACTTACTGGAATCCCTCTTGAGCATCACTCTTTAGTGATACGTAGCTTAGCTTCGGGTTGTCTGACGTGTGGTGGGAGGCAGAGGGTGGGGCTCTGGGAAGCCTGAGAGGGAGGGTTAAGGGCAGGGCAGACGACTTACTGGCGGGGAACCACAACTGACGAGTGTCCCCAGGCCAGCCAGGCTGAGAAGGCCGACCTCAGTTCTCAGCCCAGGAGACCGGGTTCGGAAGGTCTCGTTTCCGCCTGGAGGGCGCAGACCTTTCCGTTCTGTTCCTACAGCTCACCAGAACCGGGTGTCTGCGATTATCTTCAGCTCCGCCACGGAGTGGGTGGTCAGCACCGGTCACGACAAGTGTATCAGCTGGACATGCACTCGGAGCGGGGACACGCTCGGGAGGCACTTCTTCACGTCCTGGGCTTCGTGCTTACAGTATCCTTTGAAGGGTTGGGCCTTTGCCTGCTCCGGCCTTCTCGTCTCAAAAACTAGTTTTGAATGTGTTAATTGACAAAAAGAAACCCCCAAAATAGAATAAAAAAGAAATGAAAAACAAAACCAAAAAAATGAAAAACATCTATTAAAAAAAGAAAAAATACACGAAAAGAAAAGAAAGAAAAAAGAAAAAGAAAGAACAGCCCTGGCCAGTGTGGCTTAGTTGGTTGGAAGGTCATCCTACGGACTGAAGGGTATTGGGTTTGACTCGCGGTCAGGGCACATACGAGGCAGCTGATCGTGTCTCTCTCACAGTGATGTTTCTCCCTCTGTATCTCTCCCTCCCTCCCCCTCCCTGCCTCTGTCTCTCCCCTGCCCTTCCTGTCTCTCTAAGAGCAAGAAAAATGTCCTCCAATAAGGGTTTGTTTTTTTTTAAATTAGAGAATAAAAAAACAAATTTTTAAAAAAGTATAAATTTTTAAAATCCAAAGACTGAGTGATTCCTGACATTTCACATAAAATCTGAGAATTGCTGTATCTACTTTTCTTGGTATAAAATTGATTTATTAAAAATAATAGGTGGATATCATTCCCTGCTGGGAAGTACTATATGCTTTTAATACAAAATCTTGAGAAATGTAGTCCTCATTAATACAAATCCCTCCCCTCATTCTTTTAAATTTGAAAGTAAAAGAAAAGATTTTTGAATAAAGAAAGGGGGGAAAAAGGAATTCGCTTTCTCGAGATTGGTTATTTACAGACCCTGCAATAGAATAGAAACACAGTAAGCCTTGGGATGCTGGAGTTCATAAATGGACAACGAGGTCATAGTTTTTTGTATGGGGAAAGAATTCGTAATTTGTGTAATACTCTCAAAGGTGCTTCAGCACCCCCGAATCATTATGACATTGCTGCTTTAAAATGTCTGTACTACTTAATGGAATCTTTTTCACATAGAGTTCGCCCTTGCTTAAGGCTGGCTGTGGCAGCCATGCCTCTTAGTGGCGGCAAGGTCAAGGCCATCTGCTGGCAAATGCCCCACAGTAGTTCTCTTTCAGGGTTGGACATCTGGTGTGGTAAAAATTTTTTTCCATGGAAAGCCTTCATAAAGAATGTTTGCTATAAAGGAATGTACAGCATGAGATATTTAAAATAAACATTTAAAGTAGTACTGTACACTTTAGAGTGGAACGAGGGAAAATACTCAGATATGCTATGTGCTAAATCCGTGTTTCGGTTCTGAGTTAGGCTTTTCAGGTGGGGTCGTAGGAAGGAGCCCAGACCCACAGGCATGGCCCGGCCTCCTGTGTGTCAGCTGCGGATTTGTCACAAATTTCTACAGCTGTAATGTCCCCGGGAAAGTGACAAGTCATTATATCTTTAAACTTTAAATTGGCTATTGCCCTGCTTTTTGGTTTATTCAACTCTCACAACTTACAGTGAAGCACCCTCTCCGTTTTGGACTAAGTCGTCTAGGCCAGAGGAAAGGTGGGCTTCTGTCGTGCTGGCTGCTGACGTCACGTGATTTCCGGAGTGTTGCATAAAGAGCCATTTCCTTCCAGTTCTTTCTTGCTTTGTTCATTATTGAGTATTTTACAGTTTTGCATTTTATTAGAATTTGACCGTAACCACTCATCTTCATGCCTGTCTTTTCTGTCAGCTCTTATCTTTTTTATTGCCAAGTTCCAGGATGTTGGTTACAGTAATAACCGGTACTCAATGAATTCTTGTTGAATGATTGAATATTAATTACCACCATGATTCCAGCTTAAAACTTTTTCTTCAGTGTTTGCCGATAGCATTTTTTTCACCTAGGCATTTCCTTCTTCGTCGTTTTAGGCTTGTGTGTCCTCTCTTTAAAATGCGCCCTTCCTGCTTTATAACTGGGAGGAGGATTGTGTTAGAGATCCCTGACTGCTCCCCACAGATATGACTTTGATACTCAGTACGCTTTCGTTGGCGATTACTCTGGGCAGATCACCCTGCTGAAGCTCGAACAGAACACCTGTTCCGTTATCACCACCCTCAAAGGACACGAAGGTAGGCAGCGTCACCACCCACCAGGGCTCCGTCGGATTGGGGCGTCCGAATTGAGCGCCCAGCTCTGTGGTCGCATGAATGATCAGCTCCTTGTGGTCACTCCGATTCCAGTGAGATTGGCCAGACAGGGGACTTAGATCATAAACAGTGAGCACCGAGTGGCCGTAGGGTGTTGGGTTGGGTTCCATGGTGACAAATCTAGATTGCTTGTATGGATAATACTTGCTATATTGTTTACATATTTCAATTAATTAATCTTCAAAGACCTTTTAAAATGTCTTGTTAATGGTAAAACCTTTGTAAGGATGTTGTTACTATTTTTTAATTTGTCAGTTTGTAGGACACTGAACGAGACCTACCTAGTGGGTCAATACGATTAGAAGAAATGTATGGGCTGGTTTGGCCTCTGCTTGGGAAACCTCCCCTCGTGGGGGGTGGGGACGAGGGAAAAGAGGGACGGGGTGGAATGTCATTGTTTCTACAGTGCGGTGAGCTGCCGAGGCTCCAGGAGGGGGTTTTAAAACTCAGTTTGCCCTATGCGGTAACAAATTAGCAGCTTTGAGGCCATCTGGTTTAGACTGAAGAATTGGGGATTTGTTGAAAAGAATTAATCACAGAGTTACATGAAAATAGTGTCTTTAAGTATAGCAATTTAAATGTTCTCCACTCTCACAATCTATTTAGGTGAAATCAAGTCAATCAGACAGGGACCTTGCAGGGGAAAAGGGAGAGAGGAGAGCAGTGAGTGAGAATAGAAGTGGGCTGGACTGCCCGGCCTGGAAGACACCACTTTCCGTTTGTGACTAACAGCCTCATGACTCCAGGCCCGTTGGTGCCCTCCGGGCTCTGGTAGCTGAGTGTGGACAGAAAGAGCTCTGTCTGCCATTGGGCCTCTGGCTGAAGTGTGCGGGGCATAGGTTTAAAAAGGGTCGGGGTTTATACACAATTATCCCTGAAGCCCGTTTTCCAGAATACTTTTTTCTCCCACTTCTGTTAAGTTTCTGTGAGAAACCAGATCCGTTGCTTGCTTTTGAATATGGCTTCATTCATTTGCTATATACCCACCAAAAATATTAGCTTGAATGACTGGTTCAATTTTATTAAGTTTATTGATCATTTTCTTTTAGGCAAGAAGCATAATGATGAGATCTATTGAAAGAGAAATCTGTAAAAAAAAAAAAAAAAGATTTCCCCAAGGGTATCTAATTTGATAAGTTTAGTCAATATAGAGTGTGAAATGGAAGGTTTGGATTTTTTTAATCTAAATTCTCTGGCAGAATTGTTCGGTTTACCTAGAAAGTTTTGTTTTTTTTTTTTTTTTTTGAGGCACCTAATTTTCTTAAACATAGGCACCCTCCATGCACAGCTGTTTATAATTCTGCGGTACAGGCCATGGAAAAATTTATCTGAACATCTTCGCATTTAAAGTAATGTGATGTGCAGCTGAAGGTTTTGATGTTACAACCCGTGAGGGTGGGCGTGCTGGGTCCTCCCCATGACTCGTGACGAAGCGTTGAATGGCCCTTTGTACCGCAGAGATGCGGTTTTGCTGAAACACTCAGCTGTGCTCCTCACGTCTTCAGCTGTCAAATGTGTGTGACCTCACACAGCTGTATTTCACCAACCTCCTCTCTCCCCCTCCTCTCCCCTCCCTCCCACTCCACCCCCAGGTAGCATCGCCTGTCTCTGGTGGGACCCTGTTCAACGGTTACTCTTCTCGGGAGCGGCCGACAACAGCATCATCATGTGGGACATCGGGGGAAGGAAAGGCCGCACGCTCTTGCTCCAGGGCCACCAGTGCGTGACTGTTCGTGGGGGTGGGGGGAGAATCTGAGTTTGGGGAGGCAGGGGAAACACACAGTTTTTCGATAGGGCTCACCAGGTCCACTTTTAACTGCTTTTCTGTTAGTCCTGACGCCTGGTGTTCTGTAGCAAAAAGGGGAAAAGGGGACACATGGTCTTCTTCCCTCTTAGTCCAAAGAGCACTTCCCACCTTTCTTTCCCAGCGAGTCGCCTGGTTAAAATCCGCTTCAGGCAAGGGACCTCAGGGGAGGACTTGGGCCCGAAGATCGCATGTAATGGGATGCTCAGCCGTCCTCGGGCTGGACGCCCAGCTTATTTTCTTCCATTCTCAAATGCATTTCCTTAAGAAGAGAGGTCTGGTTTGACACAGGCCTACCGCCTGAGCTGTGACGTCGTGATACTCAGGCTCTTGCTGTCTTGTCTTGAAAGAAAAAGGGAACCTTTCCTCGTTGTTGGTTAGCCTGTTGCTGTTGACCATGATCAGAATCAAGCCAAAAAGTAACCAAGGAAAGATCCTCCTCACAGGCCTACAGGCAGCGGGTTGCTTCCCAGGGTGCCCAGAGTACACATGTGTGTGTGAGTGTGCCTGCGTGAGCACGTGTGTGTGAGTATGTGCGATCACTTGTTTGGTGGTCGAGCCCCAGTGAGGGAGGCGCCCTCCTTTGCTCTGTCTCTGAACGAGTGTGTAAGTCTCGTGCGCCCAACCAGGAGATAGACGGTGCTTGGTCGGGAACACGTGGCATCCTCCCGCCTCTGACCTGCATCACGTGAAGGGTTGCCGTGTTCCCCACACTGATGCGAGTGCGGGGTGTGTTGTCCACAGTGACCGGGTGCAGGCGCTGTGCTACCTGCAGCTCACGAGGCAGCTGGTCTCCTGCTCCTCGGACGGTGGGATTGCCGTGTGGAACATGGACGTCAGCAGAGAGGAGGTAAGAGAAGGAGCAGGCCAGGCTGATGCGGGGGCGTCCCCAAGATGCCGGCTTCCTGGTTTCTCACCCCACCAGCCAGAAATGCCCACCCAGGGGCAGACCGTGCTGCCCGTCACTTTGCCTTGCATCCTCTGCTCATCTGAGTGTCCACGGTGACAAACAGTGCACACAGGCTGGGCGTCCCGGCCGACTCTGGGCTTCGAGAGGTGCACCCAGGGGACCCTGAGATGGCCTCCAGCATGTCCAGGGAATGACCGCACCGAGGCGCTCCCATGGAAGGAGACTCTGAGAGGGGGTTGCAGCACGGACCCAGCTGGCGCCTGACATTTTTCTGGAAAAATATGTCTCTGTTTTCTGCTTTTATTTTCCACCGAGTTCTGTTCATGGAGTCCATGTCGACACAGTGTTCTTCTCAGAAGACCTGAGTTCTAACTCGTTTGGGCCACTGGCTGGTCCTGAGGCTTTGTTTGGATGGCTGCTGTCGTTCCCGAGTCTCCCGTCCCCCTTCCACAGAGTGAACTGGTCGAATGAGGGGACTGCTAAGGCCCCTTTAGTTCTGTAGCAGACACTCCAGTTGTCTAAACCATCTGGCTCTTTTATTTTAAATAACACTGCAGTGAACATTCTTGACCTTGTCATTGTTCAGTTATTTATTGCAGGCATGTTTCCGAAAACAGACATCTTGGGCCAAGGATGTGTATATGCAGTCAGTCTTCAGGCTTTTCATAGATGTTGTCAGACGACTTCCAGGCAGGACTGCCATTCTTGTCTCTGCTGGCGTGGGGAGCACCTGTCTTTTCCAAGCGGCACGGACAGCCTGTGCCATAGATAGCACAAGAGCGGGCTTCAGACAAGACATGAGAGCAAGAGGAACGTCAAGGACTTGGGAAGTGACTTCAGAAACATTTATTGAGCACCTAGGGGTGGCCTATAGTCTGGAAGCTTAGTGAATGTACGCCGTACATGGTTGATTGATAGTGCGTAGCCCCTCGCGGTGCGCGCTGTGCAGACTGGCGTCACACGAGTTGTTGGGGGTGTTACCCTTGCCCTTGTGCCGCACGCAGATCAGTGTGCCGGGCACCGTGCAGTGCACCAGGGCTGGGTGCGGGGTTCCGGCATCCCGTGCGTGGGTCTGCTTTCAGTTGCCTGTGATTACCTGTGAGTCTGATCCCCACTGAATAAATCTGCATCTTTAGCTCACCACAAAAGATGTCATCAAGCTATTAAAAAAGTACTAATGCTACTTATTTCCATACTTTATGGGTACCATATTCTATGTACAAAGGTTTTTGCCCGCAAGCAGCTTGCAGTCTTGTGACAGAAATGCACTACCTTACTAACTAACAGTAATACAGCCCATGATATGGACAGGTACTGGTTGCTAGTTTTTTGTTGTGGTTGTTTGTTTGTTTGTTTTAGTGACCTTGTAAGTCAGGTAGAGGAAATCTTGATCACATGTTTACTGCTTAATTTTTTGAATTTTCTAAAAATCTTTCAGTAGGGCTTAGAGTAACTTGGTATGAAACGTGTAACATTGGTTGATGTTACAGAATGTGTCAGACTTTCTCCGCAAAGGCTTATGAACTGTGTTCTACATTCATCAGCTGCTAGTCATGGTCACGAAGGGCAGCTGGTCTGCTGTCCTGTCGTGCGGCAGTCTTACTCCGAGAGCGGAGGCCCGGGGTCCAGTGCCTACTGGTGGTCCTTCTAAGGCCTTAACAACTTGGATTTCAACCCACTATCCTTATCCTTGGCTAAGTTCTCTTAGAAAAAAGAGTCGGGCTGCTTGTGCATCTAGGGAAAGAAGGGACAGTTCCATTATTCAGGGCGCTTCCTGTGTGGGCAGTTTTCTCTTTTTTCAGTCTTTCGTAAGCCATCACCCCAAATCATGTTTTTCCCACAAGCTTATCTGTCTCAGTGGTTGGCAGTGTTGGTGGGAAAGGAATTTATGCCAAAAAGGTACATCATTTTTGGTTTTGTTTTTTTTTACTAGCTGAATAAATATGAGTGCAAAAATAAGCAGACTGTGGTGTGTATGGTTTTGACCCTGAGTTAGAGTTTTGTTCAATAAGGCAAGGGCACGGCGGATTAGCCCCAGGTTCTCTGGTCCCGTGATGCCGGGCTGGATTTCTGAGTCACCTGGACAGTCAGCCGGAGCCCGCCCAGCCCACCGAGGCTGCCAGCTGCACACGCACAGGCCTGGAGCAGATTTGCCTGCCTGCCAGGCCATGATCAGAGGGGCTGCTCTTTGGAAGTAGGCGTGAGACACAAACGAGCAAGTAACAGCAATGAGCATGAAGCCTCTGGAAAGAGAACTTTATTTTAAACTGGCCGATCTCGGAGTGGGTGGTAGTCTATGCGCCGGTGCGCATCTGTCCAGATGGAACGAGAGGTGGGAAAGAGAGTGAAGTGGCCAGAACGCTTGACTGACATTCTCTTTTTCTCTTCTCAACACAAAACACAGCATTTTCTCTTCACAGAAGTGTGTAACAGGATAGCTCAGGATAGCTCAGAGCACTGGCACTTAATCCTATTACAAGAAACAAAGTTACGGGTATTTCTCATATTGCAAGTGTGCCAAAAGCCTATTTCTTTCTGATTTGGGCTTTTAGTTTATCTCAAATTATTTTAAGCACATTTTTCTTCCCATGTGCCCCTCTACCCTCCAGCTCAGCAGAGTGAAATTCTTGCATAAACCCTTTGACAGAGTTGTGCTCCCTGAGGGCAGGGACTCAGTTCCATTGGTTGTCATATCTCAGAGCCAAGCGTGGAGACCCTCACGCGTGGGAAAGGGTAGGACCCATAGACAGAGTGCATACGGAGCGTGGTGGACAAGGGCAGGGACTCGGCCGGAACCCTGGGACTCCCAGGGTCTCCACGCACTCCCTGACCTTGGACAGTTACTTCAATCCCTGGGCTTGTACCATGTTGCTCTGTATCTCTTAGGCTTGTGACAAAAATTAAGTGAAATAAGGCACATAAAACACGTAGCACACTGCCTGGACTTGCATGATGCTTGCTTTATGTCAGGACCGTGTGAACACCTCAGAAATGGTAACTCATTTAACCCTCACAGCCACCTGAACTGTGTCCTCGTCCCTGAAGGGTGCTCTCTGAACACATTACACTCTGTTTGGTTCCATGTGACATTTGTCCGCCCTGACCTCGGCTCCGTCTCCCTCCTCCCCAGGCCCCTCAGTGGTTAGAGAGTGACTCCTGCCAGAAGTGCGAGCAGCCCTTCTTCTGGAACATAAAGCAGATGTGGGACACGAAGACCCTGGGGCTGAGACAGGTGCGTAGTCAGCACGGACCCGCCGCCGGGTCAGTCATGTCTTCTGTTATCTGTGTGATCAGTCTGCCATCTGGTGTGGAATCACTTTTCCCTATAAATGCTGCTGATTCATGCTTTTGATGTCACCATCGTTGGTAACGGTGTGTGAGACTTTCCCTGGGGCCGGTGCGACTGTCACCTCACCGTCCCACTGCTGCTTGTCCCGCACTGGAAGAGCAGGGATGCCCAGGCAGCCTGAGAGCCCGTTTGAAACAGATGCAGGTCTTTCACTTCAGGACCATTACTAAAGCCACTGTTTCATGTTAACTAAGCAGCAAGTGAGAGTGAGTTAGGGTGGGTGAGCTCATGCTTTCACAAGCAATACCGTGACACTAATTATTTTATATTAGTCCTAAATTGTTCCACATGTATCTGCCTGGAATATTTCTAGTAAGCATGCTGCAAGTACTATGTTTTATTTTATAAATTAAGGAATCATGTCCCAGATAGCCTGCACATTTCAGTGATGCTCTTATCACTGATACTAAAGTTCTACCAAAAAAAAAAATATATATATATATATATATATATATATATATACACACACACACATTTCTACAGAAGACTTGCAGGTAACCACTCACTGTGGTTTAATATGAATTTGTGAAGTAATTAAGAAAGAATGCTGATTTTATTTATTTTATCACTGGTTGCACCTCTATGAAGGATTGGCCTACAGTCCATGTGTGGTAATAGACTTTCTTTGATTTTACTTACAAATCTACTCTCCAGCAAGGTCTGATATGAGACTGTCAGGCGATACAGGAATTCTTTCAGCACTTAAAAAACTTCCTAATCCCCTGAAAATAGCGCCCCAATAGTTTCATTAGCCTAGTTCTCACAGTGCATGTCTGGTGGTAACTGGTGCATCACGACTGATGAGTGAAGAAGTCCCTACTCCTAAAGGAAATTAATTTTACTGTTACGAGTTAACAACTAATAGAGGAAATGTACAGGCCTCTTAGTGGTAAAAGAGTATGTTCCAATCGGTAGTAACTGGACTATTTTGGAATGTTCTTGAAGCTTATTTCCAGAGTCACAATGTGAAAGAATAATTATGGATGTTGGTTTCTTAATGAGGGTATATTACATTTAAAACCTTTTTCATAACTTTCTTTTGACCCAGAGTAGATTTTTTCCTTCCTGAAATCTCTAGTCATTTGGTCTTCTAAGTGAACTTGGACTTGATTTTAATAATGTTTGTTGTTATCAACACATAATATGAATGAACAAAAAGTAATATTTGACCAATATAGTAAGGTGGTTTGGAAATTCTTGTTAGATACTGAAATTGTCTACATTTTGCATGTTAATTGCTACATGGAATTGGGGCGATTATAATTCAAGGCAAGTCACCCCATTCCCATCCATCCCCCTACTCCGAAGGGAAGCCACGGGCATTACAGCCGGAGCTAACCCCTCCCTCTTCCTCCTCCCCTCGGTTGTCCTGAAGCATCACTGCAGGAAGTGCGGGCAGGCTGTCTGCGGGAAGTGCAGCAGCAAGCGCTCCAGCTACCCCGTCATGGGCTTCGAGTTCCAGGTCCGCATGTGCGACTCCTGCTACGACTCCATCAAGGATGAGGAGTGAGTGTTGGCCTGTCTCTGCCTTACTGTGCGTCTGAAGTGGTAGAGACGTGGATGTACTTCTGTCTCCGTGTTCGTTTCTCCCCAGTATCAAGCGGTTTCTAAGGAGAGGATTCCATTCTAGCTTTATGATGTAAGACAGAGTTCTCCCAAACACTGCTGCGGCTGACATAGCTGGGACCAGCCCAGCCGTTGAGTGGACATTCTTGAGCCCCCAGGCCACTCAGGGTGCTGTGCAGGGTCAAGGCCATGTGCACACTGGTGCAGTGGCTGAGCTGGTTCTTTCCAAAAGCATCTCTCATCTTTGCTCACACATGCACGGAGATTTAATTACTGGGGACTAGTCGTTTTTCCTCCCACCAAGATCTGACCTAGCAGTCTGTTCTTAAATAACTATTTGTGTTAAGACATTTCTCTCTGTTCCCCATTCTGTCCTGACTCAGGCAGACCCACCAGGGCAGAACCATCATTTTCCTTCCCTTCCCTTTGAACCATCTTTGAAAGTAGCAGACGGGCAGATGTGGGCAGAGGCCCAGGTGGGAAAGCTAGTGGGCACTGTCGGCCTTGGTCGGCGAGCTCATGGTGGGGGCTGGGCCTGCGGGCCTCAGGGCAGAGTGCTGCTCCCTGGACGCCAGAGGGGCCGGGGGGAGCCCACAGCCTTCTCGTGAGTGTTTGCTGCACCGCATGATCTCCAGGGCAGTTCCTCTTCTACATGAAAGGTTCTTATTTTTACGTCTAGGAATATATGACCTTTCCACTCAAAACAAAACAAAAACGAAACAGGCATTTGGGGTGTTTTATAAATCCTTCATGAAAGAGCCTTACAACTAACCATGCTTTTCTCATCCTTTAATTCTGAAGTTAGTTTTCAATGTAGCCACATTTTGGGGAGCAAATTTTAACACAGTTATTACAGGTACAGTTGACCCTTGTGCAGCAAAGGGGTTTGGGGGGTGGAACCTTTGGCAATTGGAAATCCACGATTAACTTTTTGACTCTCCCAAACCCCAACTCCTATTGACTGGAAGCCTCGCCAATAACATAAGCAGCTGTTTAACCCATATTTTGTACATCATGTGTATTCCGTATGTTCTTTCAATAAAGCTAGAGAAAAGAAAATGCTATTGAGAACACTGTAGTTCCCTAAGGAGTCATGAATACATTTATAGTACTGTGTGTATTCACTGAAGAAAATGTGCGTGTCAGTGGCCCCCGCAGTCACGCGTGGTGGTCAGGGGCGTCCATACCTCCTTTGTGTGGCTAGGAAGGCGGGACCCTCTGCCCCAGGTGCAGTCAGGTGCGTCCTCATGTTCTCTTTTCTCCTTGCTAGTCGGACTTCTCTAGCAACCTTCCATGAAGGAAAACACAACATTTCCCACATGTCCATGGATGTTGCCAGGGGACTGATGGTGACCTGTGGGACCGATCGCATTGTAAAGGTAACCTGCTCACCTGTCCCAGTTAGCAGCTCAATGCAGACTGCTCCCTCGTTCTGCTAGAAACGAGCACAAGACGTTTCTAGTCCAGTCTCATCTTCTGACTGGCAAGCTTGCCTTCCCTTTTTCTAAGCGACCCTCAGCCAGTTGAAAACCTGATGTAACAAACTGCATGCCTGTGGGTTTCCATGCTCTTGGCCTTGGCTCACCCCAAGGCATTTCCCTTGGCCTGGCACTCCCCACCCCCCACTGCTGCCTGGCTGAGCCAGCCCAGGTTGCCCCCTGCCCACCTGATCCTGTAGCTGACCCCTCACTCTGGTCATTCCTTCCTGGGCTCATGTTCCTTTCACTGGGGACAGAGGCTTCTAGTTGTAAGAAATAACTACACTCCTTTTTTTTTATTATTATTAATTCCCTGGACTACTAACACAGAAACTGAAAGTAACTGTTTTATAATTAGTATCACTCTTGAGTTGTGAAATTATGACATATATTATTTCACAGTTTTAAAAACTGGGCTTTTTCCCAGTGGAGACCTCATTACAATGTAGTTTTAAGAGGTCTGGTTGTACTTAGGACCTTTCTGCACTTTTAGTGTTTTACCACCGTGATCTTGAGGCAGTTTTACAGGGAAAGAAGAGAACGGGAGAATGAGTTCCTCTGGCTGCTGGTGCCAGTGTTGGCTGTCCCAGGGGCCTAGGTGACCAGTGCGGCCTCTGCATCCTCTTTCTTGCAGATATGGGACATGACGCCCGTGGTGGGCTGCAGCCTGGCCACCGGCTTTTCCCCGCACTGACCTGCGGCGGCACAGTCCACACCTCCCGGCGGCAGCCTCCAAATGCCACCCTTCCCTGTGGCGCTGCAGTCACCGTCACGTGAACGGACAGTGCCCACTTCAACACAGATCGACACTTTCCAAAAGAAAAAAAACTAAAGGTGTGTTTCGGGGAACCCGTGGAGACCACCTGCGGGGACTAATAGGCAGAGGTCCGTCTGCAGCGGTTCCTGGACGCGTGGAGCTCCCTCAGCGAGACGTCCTCCTGAACACTGAGCAGATGGGGACCAAAAGACCCGTCCAGCAAATGTAACTGTTTTAGAGGAAAACATAGTGAACTAAAGAGTCACTGCCTAGAATGCCCTGCAAGCCGCTGCGAGGACACACACCTGCCCTGTGACCTGCTGGGCCCCCGGGGCTGCCGGTGCAGCCGGATCGGGGACAGGAGGCTGTCTCTGTCCCTCAAGGGGACACAGTAAGGACTTCGGGGCCCAGAGGTGCTCCTCCCATGCCAGCAGGGTGTGAGCACGCTTTACACGTAGTGATGGGCAGACATGTTAGAGATGCCTGTTGTCTCCAGGGCCGTTATCCGCACCGAGCATCTGGCTGGCTCACTTCCCGTCTCTCCTGCCCGGCACTGTGCCACGGGAGAACCTCACGGTGGCCGTGAGTGACTCGTGAAACTTCTGTAGTAACAAGGCAGGCCACATTCTCCCCGCCCCCGCCACATGTGTGCTCTGGGGACAGAATGTTTCTGTGGTGCCACTGCCATGAGAGTCACACAAGCCGCCTGACTTTCTGTCACTGCCGTTAGTGACGACTGCTGGGAAACCCAGCTGCCAGCATGCGTGTGGTGGGAAGTGGTCCTTCGGTTCCGTGGAGCAGCCTCCTCCGAACAGGCACGTTCTGTTTCTGGTTCCCAGGTGAGCCCCTGTGACGCTGTGGCACTTTAACATGCGCCCCAGATGAGAACTCCAAAGCGCTTTAACCTTAACCTTAACTTGTATTTGTAACTAATGTTATTACTATTTCATGGAAGGAAATTGGCAACCCAGAGCAATAGCATTAACCAGCTCCTGCACAGTAATTCCCAACTCGTAAATTGCTTTCAGAACAACTTGCAAAATCTGTTGTATCAAACGGTGTTGTTGGAAAGGGTTTGGTTGAAAGGGTTTGGTCGCTGGGTACCAGGATGGGGAAACGGTGGGGGAGGGGACGCCCACTGTTCATATTCAAATATTTATTGTTTGATTGTTTTTAACAATAGTACACATATCTATTACTTTAGGACTATGGAATGAGGAGAGACCTACTTTTTTTAAGGATAAATTTAAAAATAGCAACAGTATTTTTGTTAGTCTTACTAATGGTTGTTGTTAAAAACTCACTTCTGCTTCACTAACGTTGGGGTCATATCAGGACCAACGTCACTGTATACAATGCAGCTAAGGAACTCAGTCTGTTTTCTAACAGCAGCTAAGGAGGCTGGAACGTGGACAGGCACTTACACTGAAATGTCTTAATACCGAGGGACTCACATAATAAGGGCAGTGGTGAGGCACTTGTGTTTTAGGATGATCTGCTTTGACACTTGGCTTGCCTTCAGGAATAAGACTGAAGCGTTTTGTTGCTCCTTGTAATTTTTGTACTATCTCACCTGAAAAATGAAGTTTCCTTTAAAAACTTTCCCTGGGCTTTCTGCACAATGTACCTTACTAATACTGTCTGGAAGGCAGATTGAGCGATGGCGACTTTTAGATGGCAGTGTTGAATGCTGACGGGAGGTCAGTCCTGGTTCAGCCCACACAGAGGTGCTATCCTGGGGACTTGACGGAGTCCTCAATGGAAACCCGAACATGATCAATTCCTTGCCACAACGACAAGTGCTGAACTATGGTTTTGTTTTCCTCTATTCTGTAAAATGTGATTTTCTAGGCTGAGCAGAGAGCATCACAGCTGCTGAGAATATGCCGTAGCTTTCAATCTTCTTTTTATTTAGGCAGTTTTTAATGAAGAGCCCCAATGCTTCATAGAGACTGTAGGTTTGTGGTAGTGCCTCTGAGGGGTTAGGCTAATAGAAATCAAGGAAATGCATATTTCACGAAGAAGAGGAGCCAAGGTATCTGGAAAGGAGAGGAGCTGTTTCCATATGCTTTTCTCTCCACCGGGGCCTGTTTTTCTGTCTGAAAACACGCGTGGCACCCTGGTCTTGTCTCTGACACACACTAAGTAAGTAGCAAAGGGGGTACTATTTTTTTATACAGGTGGGCAGAAATTATTTTCTCAACTTTACTGACTGAGCACATGAGGACAGTCCAGCTGCGCTTACGGTTATTGCCTTACCTCGCATTACTCTGACACAGGTCATCTAAAATCGTTCTTCCCATAACGACTGTTTTTTCACAGTCCTTTGTACAAACAGATTAAGAAGTACAGAATGTTAGAGAAAATCTTTATGTTTAGTTCCAGTAAGTACGGGATAAGAAAATGCCAATTCTTTATTTTAAACATGTTTTTAATTGGCCACTTAGTAGCACAAGTGATAGAGATAACCCTGTAACATTCAGGGGGAATATCATTCATTTCATTGTCAATCTCTGTTTTCCACATCCTCTGCTGCCCAGAGGCTATAAACAAGATGTCATGCTCTGGACAGCTCCTCGTAAAGAATTCGGTTTGTTAGTATCCACATTTTTCAACTGTCGACACTGGCCTAAATTTGTAATAAATTCCACAGTGGCTCATATCCAAGGAGCTGTTTTCTAAAATCAGTTTTCTTTAAATTATTTTCTCCTTCCGTGACTGGATCTGATGTCTTTTAAAATGTAAGAAACCAGTTACTATTAATGATAAATCATCTGCTCACTACAAATGTGAGGTTTAAGAAATAAGTGATACATGCTGTATTTATTCATTGTGAGCAGATTACTACTCTATTTCCTGCGGTTTATTATACAGTAACTCTTGGGGTAAGTTGAAGCTGAATTGAGCGGCAAATCCACATCAGAATCTGGTTTACAGTGTTTTTCTCTATCGCCTTTCCTGGACTGGGGAGCTGAGCAACGCCGGTCAGTGTCCCTGGTCCCCATACGAGCAGTGTCTCCGTAAAGACAGTGGCCGGCGGACCCCAGCGCACCGGAAACCGTCCTCTGCGCCTATTTGTGGGTTCTGTTTTTGTGGGGTTTCTTTTTTGAGAAAATATGTACAATAAAATATTCCTTGCTTGTTCCTCTGTTGTTGGATTTAGCTTTTGTCATGTTTGGTCTGGACACAGGGCAGTAACGGTGGCTTCTGTGTGGGTGGTAGCAGCGACCCCATGTTCAGCACCATTGGTGGGCTGGGCGCTCTACCAAATTGGTGTCATCCGGGCCTGGCACCACTTCTGCCCGTCGTTATTGTCCCCATTTACATATGAGAAAACCAAGACGATCCTGTCCATCTGTCCATCTGACTTGAAAGCAACGCCTTCTTCACGCCACCTGCCTTAGTGTGCGAGTGTGTCATGAGTGTTTTATGTAACGGAAGTGGGGACGATGGTCTCTTGCAGTCTGAGGCCCTGGAGTCGGACGGCTCGGGATGCCCCAGTGTCCTCACAGCTGCTGCATCAGGGAACACAGGTGGTTCTGGTGACAGCGGACACATGCTTCCTGGGCTTAACTGGCGAGAGGTCGATTTGAATCCCAGAACGGCAGTTTACTGCGCTATTAAAGAGATAGAGCTTTATTTTCTCTCATCCTCAAAATAATGAGTTTATTATAATAGAGAAGAAAAGTAAAAAGATAATACCAAAAAGTATAAAAAAGGTTTTTTTAAAACCTTTAGCCCTGCTACTCAGAGGAAATACTGCTCAACTTCGGCTGTATACCTTTCCGGTGTCATTTTAAATGCATGTGTACCTATGTAACACATGCTCCTAGGATATATATTTTTTAATATTTTATTTCTTTTTCTTTATTTTTAAAGAGAGGAGAAGGTAAGGAGAAAGAGGGAGAGAAACATCAATGTGTGGTTGCCTCTCACGTGCCCCCACTGGGGACCGGGCCTGCAACCCAGGACCCTTTGGGAATCGAACCACAACCCTTTGGTTCACAGCCCACACTCAATCCACTGAGCTACACCAACCAGGGCCCTTGGATATATTGTTAATGGGCCATGCTTCTTTCTACCAGCCAAACAGTATGGTGGTTTGCCTTGCCGAAGAGTGGGACTCCGTGTTAGCATTTGTGGTTCTCCACGGTTGCAGTGGACTTTAGCTCGCTGCGGTGCCAGCACTCACTGGGATTGCCAGTCTCCAGCATTTTGAGGTCAGTGCAGGCCGTGTGACTTGCTTTAGTCAGTGAAGTGTGGGCAGAAGCATTTAACTGTGGGCGAGAGACTCAGCCTGGGCAGCCCCAGGAGCACATGTTGGTGGAGAAGTAGGACACGAGCCATCCCGTGGAACCCAAGTGCTCTGGCTCTCCGGTGGACTTTGCATAAGGGGAAAACAAGTCTTTGCTGTGTTTGCAGAGGTGAGGGGATGGACACGTGTTTTACCCGCAGTGTAATCTGGCCTGAACAGCGGTGCCGTGTTGTTCCATTATGTGGCCAAACCATCGTGAGTATCACAAGTCCCATGTCGAAATCAGACTACACATTTTTAGAATATTTACAATTTTAATTTAAAACACTAAGTATTTAACCATACTAAATTCAGCATACTTTTATGTTCATCTCTGCTCACTTTTTCAATTATTTTCTTAGAAGTGGGGATTGCTAGGTCAAAGAATATGTATATTGTAAGCCTTTTATTTTTATTGCTAATATCTTCATATCATCACCAACAATTGACTAGGTGATAAAAAGGCACATCTTAGAGTCATAGTTTATGGAATTCCAGTTTATTAATTTACAATGGGAAGTTCATGTGCCAGGCAGAGCCCAGTGTCTGCAGGACGGTCTAGAGAGAGCCCAAGTCGTCATTCGAAGGCTGTTTAGAGGACAAGGACGCAGAGGAAGGAAGGCTGGATGACCTCAGTGCTGTCAGGACAAGCTTGGGCTCATCGCCGAGGCCGCTGGAGGGTCGGCTGGTCTCACTGCACTTGGAAGATGCCCCAGTGAGTTCTTGGTCCTGGCTTTCCCTCTTCAGGGTCTGCCTAGATTATGATCCATTTATAAAAACATTCCCAGGTCCCTGAGTTTCAGCTTTCTTTCCTACCTGTCACTCTCAGTCCCTGGGTCTCCTTCGATCTCTCCATAAGCCATTTCACTACACGCACAAACCATCCCTTAGCAAGCTTATTCACACTGTATGATTTCCTATGCAAGTTGAGCAGTGCGTTCTGGGATCACCTTCTTCACTCCAGTCTCCTCTTTTGTGGTCTAGAAATGGAGCCTGAGAGAGAATTTCCTGGGTCAAACCCAAGTGAACTGAACAGTCAGACGCTGCTCTGTCTGACCTCACAGCCCCTGTTCATTTTCTAGTTCCCATCTGATTCTTTCACATTTAAAGAAATTTCAGATCCTGAGTTTGACATTCTGGAGAAAGAGAAAGTAGCAGGAATTTCTTGACACCCATTGGCAATGGCAGTATGGCAGATTTGCCCACAACCCAGAGTTTAAGATCAAGAGGGGCCTTAGATGTCTAGTCGCCATTTTTTTTCCGGGATCATAAATCACTGGCGGTGTTGACAGGTGGCTTCTGTAATGACGTACCTCCGTTCATTCATTCCCCAAGCGTTCTAAAGAGCAGTGATCCTTAATCTGTATTTTTTGATACTCTAATATTCTTAAGTCATTTTGGAACTGTTACAGAATTTCTTTCAGAAAGTGTGTTGTATTTTTATCTGAACTAGATTAACATTAATGCGCAGTAAAGAATATAGAGTCATCCCCAAATCAAGCTAGTGAATTTGCAGTAACTTAAGGAATCACTCTTCTAAAGTCTGGCTGTTACACTTGTACCTACTTCATGACAGGGACTGTCATCTCTTCCTGTAACACTTTGCAGCAGCCAATAGCCTGTAGATTCTGCCATGAAAATCACACCCAACTAATCAAGTCACAGAACGGTCATATGATTTTAATATTTCAGAATTACAGGTATCATTCCCTTATTAAATAAATGTAATGTTAAGTTTTGACAAGATAATGGTAAACAACTGGCTATTTCCATAGTTGTAAATTCTTTCAGTTAATTCTGTGATAACAAAATTTGCATGATTGCACAGTTTGTTGAATTCAGGATATACCTTAAGTCACAGGAAGGAAAAACTATGTTGAAAGCATTCTTCTGGACCCATCCCCTGCTTTCACTCACGTCCCAGACTTGACACGTGTGTGGCCATGGCCCACTCAGCAGCTCTGGTTCCCACCCAAAGCTCTGTCCAGGACCAGCCTTTATGTCACTGTCCTGAGTGCCCATCACAGAAGACCTGCTCAGTCCTTAAAGGACTTATTAGCTCTTGGATTCTCTAAATCTTTCCTGTGTTTCATTTATTTATTCGGCAGATTAGAGCGCACACCTAGGTATGTTCTTCCCATCCTTTGACAATGCCGCCTTAGGCTGAGTGTGCAAAACGTTGTGTTGTGTGCACTTACTTCATTGAGCTGTGTCCTGGAGGAACTCACTGGAGAACAACTGTAAATAAGTGGGAACATCTGCTTGAATTAACCCTTTGCAGTACTAAAAAGAGGAAGAAAGGGAGAGGAACAATTTCGGTTATGGTCAAACCGAAATTTGCTCCTGTGTGGACTTACTAGTGTAAAAACAATTCTTTGTTCAGGTAATTCGGGGGCTTTATTTCCAAGTTATTAATGTACTTTTACATTTCTTGTATTTTATGGTCAGATGTGAGTCAGATATCTTTTGCTTCAAGAGTCGCATCTGTTAATCGATCAAATGAACCTTAAGTTGTAAATGTGTGCTGAGGACATGGGCAAACTTAGAGACACAAATCTCGGTACAAGCCCATCCACTCCTCCTTCAAATGTATCCCAGAACACTTCTCACCACTCAGCTGCTGCTAACCATGGTCCAGTCCCCTGTCCACTGATCGCTCCAGAAGCCCCCTAACCTGTCTCCCCGATCCTGCCCTTGCCCTATCAGCCGGATCTCAACACACCTATTAAAATGCAATGCAGGTCCTGCCATTCCTGTACACAAAACCCTCACTGCTCCCATTCCAGTGGAAGTCCAAATTCTAAAATGGCCCTGGCTGGTGTAGCTCAGTGGATTGAGCACAGGCCTGGGAACCAAAGGATCATGGTTTGATTCCCAGTCAGGGTACATGCCTGGGCTGCAGGCCAGTTCCCAGTAGGGGATGCACGAGAAGCAACTATACATGGATATTTCTCTCCCTCTCCTTTCCTTCCCCTCTAAAAGATAAATAAATGAAAAAAATCTTTTAAAAAATGGACCCTCATCTCCCTGACATCTGCGATGCTCTCTTACTTACTCCTGTCTAGCCACACTTACTGTTCTCCTCCGTCTAACTTCTGTGAACACAGGGAATTTGCACATACACCCAGCAGTGTCAGGCACATTGTAGGCACTCAATAAATAGTACTCGTATGTGTGCAACTTGGGTGCTATGTGCGTAAATGAAAAGGGACTTTCAGATAAATGGACTTTTTCAGGGAGTGAAGCAGTGCTGTGGCTGTCACTACCACCCTGCATCATCTCACACCCAGCTCATTCCACCTGCCAAGCTGCTGCTGCAATTGGCCAGAGACGGGGAATGGAGGATAAGTACACAGGGGACAGGCTGAAACATCCACCACTAATTCTGGTACCTGGTCATCGTGAGACTTAAGTCAACTCCACTTGGGTGGGTGTGTTGGTTTTAAAGTATTTCTGCAAACTCGTCCACTGTCTGATGGAGAGCTGGAATTAGTGCTCTCTGCCCTTGAATCTGGGCCAACCATGGTGACTCACAAATCGAATATGGCAGAAGTGGCAAGTGATACTGTGACATCTGAGGTTGGATCAGAAAGTGCTGTGCAGCTTCCACCTGGTTCTGCGCAGGGGACCAGCTGCCTCTGAGACCACTGGCGCTCCGGTTGGGGGCCAGGGTGGCCATGAGCTTCCAGCTGACAGCCAGCACTAACCGCCAGCTGTGTACATGCATCGCCTTTGACGTCCAGCCCCGTTGAGCTTGCAGATGGCTGCAGATCCAGCTGACAAGCGACGATAATAGCAGGGGGGCTGCCCATGGGAGTCTGCGAAATTCCCAACCCCCAGAAATGTGAAC